GGTGCGAAATGGACATGCTGCATTTGGCACAGATGCGTTACCTAGACAACACTGCGTCTGCCACTTTTGGTGACGAACAGACGCCGCGTGCGCTGAAACGCGCATGCGTCAGAACAACGCAGTGCGGCACGGGCCTGCCAGTATATGGCAGAAGTGGTGCCTGGCGTGGCAACGCCTGCGCGTACGCGCGCCGGGTCACGTCGAAGTGTATCGGCGCATTGACCGTGGCAGGTATCCATGTTCTCACATGACATGCATCTTATGACTATCATGTTTGCACCAGTCACATACCTTCGTCATCCATTGACGTCACGTAATACCAAATTTGGCATATGTAAAGCTAGCAAAACGGCCGCGAGTGCATCATGAGTGTGGCAGGTGGTCAAGTTGTTACATGACACGCATGTCATGGTTATCATTTTTGGATGCGTCATTTACCTATGTCGTCCATTCGTGTCACGTAATACAGAATTTGGCACATGTGAAGCTAGCGAAACGGCCGCGAGCGCATCATGGGCGTAGCATGTAGTCATGTTACATGACCCGTATATCACGATTATCATGTTAGCGCCAGTCACATACCTTCGGCATCCATTGATGTACCGTAATACCAAGTTTGGTATATGTGACGCTAGCGGAATGGCCGCGAGCGCATCATGAGAATGCGTTTTGTCATGTTGTTACATGACAGGCATGTCATGATTTTCATGCTAAGTCTGTCGCTTGTGTTCAGCATGCAATCATGTCATATCATATCAGTTTTGCAACATGTCATGTGAACTAAACCGTGCACCGCAAGAGCAGCAAGACTGTGATATGTAAATCACGACATTTATGACATACATGTCATAATTTTCATGTTATGACTAATAAGATATTCTCGTCATACTGTCATGTTATGTCATACCTAGTTTGGTATCAATAACATTATTCAAACGGCCTGTTGAGCTAAAAGTCATAGTCGGCTACATAGATAGATACATAGATACGGTCAAAGTCACCGAAGTTCACTAAAAAATGCTTCGCATTTGACAGTTATTGACAAGTTTTCCTAACGTGGTCCAGTCCTGCACGAACGCGAGAGGTGTCTGTGGGCGCCACACGGAGAACGCGTCAGCGTCGCTGAGACACGCAGTCGGCGTCGGAAAAAAGCGCGTGAACAGACCATGGAGAGAGAAAGAGAGAAATAGAAATAAACGTTTATTTCGGAACAGTGTTCCGAGCAATGCCCGGTATCTCCATAAGGTGGAAGAGTTCCTTAGTCCAGGAACCCTCTGGCTTGAACTGGCCTCCTGGCTCTCGCGACGAGTTCTCTCTAGTCTTCCAGGTCCTCTAGAACGAGCTTGGCTTCCCACGTTTCGATCAGGCAGTTGTCGTTCATTTTTGGTGCTTGGTCCCGCTCCGGTTCAATGTCGTGGTTCGGGTTTGCATTGAACTGGTATACCAGGAGCAAGTGCACCAGTGTGTCTGGTACGCTGCAGAGCAGGCAACTGTAGCCCTGTGTCGTTAAGTAGAGGTGGTGCATGTTCCATGTATGTACATGTTGCTTTGTAGGTGTCTGAAAATTGCGCTTTCTTGTTTGGTTAGTTTTGGATGGGTTGGAGGGTACACTCATCGCTCCAGTTTGTAGTGCTGAGGTAGTGACGAATACGTGTTTTCTACAACCTCTAATGTTGCAGCCGCGGATTGGATATCTTTTGGTCCCACGGCAACCCCGCTGACGTGCTCGCGGGCAGCGGCATTGGCTGCTTCATTTCCCTGTAGACGTCTGCGTTCAGGAACCCAGCCTTACGCAGGTATATGGAACTGGAGCGCCTCGCCGTTTCAGGATGATAATTGCATCGGCTGAGACGAGGCCCTTCGCATGATTCTGGCAAACGGCTTGGGAGTCGGTGAAGATCACCATGGCGTCCTCCCACGTGGTCGTGGGAGAGTGACGGCCGCTACTTCTGCTGCGTCTGAGTCGCGTGCCTTGACCGTGGTCGACGCTAACTCTCGGCCTTGAGAGTCTACGCTGGTATCGTACAAGTTTCAACGTGGATACTTCGCCGCGTCGGTATAACGGGCGCCCGACTCTTGCTTGAGCTTTCGTTGAATAGCTCCAGCACAATTCTTTCGTCTGCCTTTGTGGAATGGCGCCTGCATGTTGCATGAGATAGGTGCGAGGGACAGGGACTCTCGAACGTCAGCTGGGATGCGCTTTTAAATGCGTAGCATTTCTTAGAGAACTTTGGCGACTTTGAGCACATCTATCTATCTATCTATCTATCTATCTATCTATCTATCTATCTATCTATCTATCTATCTATCTATCTATCTATCTATCTATCTATCTATCTATCTATCTATCTATCTATCTATCTATCTATCTATCTATCTATCTATCTATCCACCTACGACTTTCAGCTCTCCTGGCCGTTTCGTTAATGGTATCAATACCAAATTTGATATGGCGTAACATGAAGGTATGACGAGCATAACTGACTAGTAATAATGTGACTATCATGTCATGATTTACATTTATTGGCCTTGCTGCTCTTGCGGTGGTTTTGTTCACATGATATGTTGCAAAATGAAATGACTGCATGGCGAACACAAGAGACAGACCTTAACGACGAAATCATGACATGCATGTCATGTAAGTCATGAGCCATGACTACGCGCCTCGCTCATGGTACGCTTGCAGCCATTTCGCTAGCTTCACCTATACCAAATTAGGTATAACAGGACGTGAATAGTTGACGGGTTGGGGCTGGTGCAAACATGATAATCATGAGACGCGTGTCATGTAACAACATGACTACATGCCACACTCATGCAGCGCTCGCGGCTGTTTCGATAGCTTCGCGTGTAGAAAATTTGTTATAACGTGACGTGGACGGATGACATATGTGAATGAGGCCCGCCACAGTGGCCTAGTGGCTAAGGTACTCGGCTGCTGACCCGCAGGTCGCGGGATCAAATCCCGGCAGTGGCGGATGCATTCGCGATGGAGGCGAAAATGTTGTAGGCCCGTGTACTCAGATTTTGGTGCACGGTAAGGAACCGCAGGTGGTTGAAATTTCCGGAGGCTTCCACTACATCGTCTTTCATAATCATGATGTTACGGGAGAATAACTTTACTTTATAAAACGAGGAATAAACTCGGTGGTGGACAAGATGGCGCCCAGTTGGCTCACAGATCTGACAACATCGTCCTCCTCTTTGTCTTCTTCGTCGTTCTCATCCTACCGTTACATGATTTCCCCGGCGGCTGGAGCACCGACCCGGTGCTAATCAGGAGGCACTGGAGTAATACGGTTTGAGTCGCGTAACATGCACTACGTCAGTGTGAGGGTGAAGGATGGCGGGGTCCGTAGGGGTGATTTCGTATGTGACGTCAGTTACTTGGCGTAAGATACGGTAGGGACCTGAATAGCGTGGGAGTAACTTCTCCGAAAGTCCAACGCGGCGCGAGGGGAACCATAACAGAACGAGATCTCCGGGTGTGAAGTGGACGTCACGATGGCGGGCGTCGTATACGCTCTTCTGATTGTCCTGGGAGTCCAGTAAGCGTCGTCGAGCAACTTGGCGTGCCGCTTGGGCCTTCATTATTGCATCACGAGCGTACTGAGACTTGTCATTTAGTCCGGCCGGCAGGAGGGTGTCGAAAGGTAGCGCAGGGTCACGGCCGAACAACAGAAAAAAAGGAGAGAACCCAGCGGTGTCGTGTCTGGAAGAATTGTACGCGAATGTTACAAACGGTAACGTAGTGTCCCAGTCGCGGTGATCGGCGGAGACATACATGGAGAGCATGTCCGTGAGAGTGCGATTGAGGCGCTCCGTTAGACCATTTGTTTGTGGATGGTAAGCAGTCGAGAGCTTGTGTTTAGTGGCGCAGGAGCGGAGGAGGTCATCAACCACTTTGGAAAGGAAGTAGCTGCCTCGGTCGGTAAGGAGTTGTCGAGGGGCGCCATGATGTAAGATGACGTCCTCCAGAAGGAAATCGGCCACGTCAGTTGCACAGCTGGTTGGAAGGGCCCGTGTGATCGCGTATCGGGTAGCATAATCGGTTGCTACTGCAATCCACCGATTACCCGCAGCTGACGTAGGAAAAGGGCCAAGCAGGTCCACGCCAACACGGTAGAATGGGTCTTGTGGGATGTGCAGTGGCTGAAGACGTCCGGCCGGAGGGGCATTTGGTTTTTTCCGTCGTTGACAAGGGTCGCAGGCTGCAATATAACGGCAGACGTCGCGGTACATGCCAGGCCAGAAGAAGCGCCGGCGAACTCTGTCGTAGGTCCGTGACACGCCGAGGTGACCCGCTGTAGGTGCATCATGAAGCTGGGCGAGAACAGTGTGACGCAATTGAATGGGAACGACGAGTAGTCTTTCGGGGCCGTCAGGACGCATATTGCAACGGTATCCGTTGCATATTGCAACGGATAGTTTTGGGACGGTAAACACCACAAATAAATCGATCAATCATATGTAAATGACACGTCCGAATATGATAATCATGACATGTTTGTCATGTAATGATGATATGCCTCTCGTCCCTGCTTCGAATACTAGGCACTCAGACTTCTCGGGGGCACAGTTTACGCCGCACTGTCGGAGATACCTTTCGATGGTGTTCACGGCATCTTGACGGCATCTTTTGGCTCCCGATGTTCGAAGCTTTAGCACAGAGTGTGATGTCGTCAGCATACGTCACGTGCCGCAGAACGGGTATTTTATCGAGAACTTTAGGCAGATCGATCATGACCACGTTAAACAGTCGTGATTAGATGAACGAACCCTGCGGCTTGCCACTTTTTAGGTAGTGTGAAGCTTTTGCTGCGGATGTCCCAGATGCGAACAGGTGCTGTACGGTCCATCAGAAACTTTCTGACATACGTGTAATGCTTGTGCATCTACTCGGACATAAGTTTTTATCAGGATCCTTGTCATCGGGCTGAATCAACAGTACTTTCAAAAATAAGAAAAGGACAATGTTTAAGCAAAACCAAACAATTTATTACTGCAACGTGCAAATTGGATAGTACCGATCTGTGGATTTATTCTTTGGCGTAAAGATTTGCACGTGAAGTGAAGCTCTCGTGGACTTGCCTGACCACATGGTGAATTTGGGCAATCGGAGCTGATCTGGCACGCGGTCTTACTTAAGGAGGGTATCTCTGCCAGCTGACTCCATTTCAGAGGATTGCCTTGCAAAGGCTTCTAAAAAGCATAGCAAAAACAAGGTTTAAATTACAAAGAGCAGTGAGAAAATGTGTGCAATTTTCATTTGAAAAAGTTGTTAGGGTTTGACCTTAGCTCAAAGCCAACCTAAGTTTAAATTTTGTGTGTAAGAGAGATATATATCTTTATATTGAGAACATAGCTTTAAAGAGGCATCCTTCGTAAGAAGACGTCACATTCTGGGAACTTGAAGCGCGCGTTAGTTGATTGGGTGTTAGAACCTGTTACCATCTGAAGCAGACTCGAGTGTTACTGACTCATTGATGACAGAGAAAAATAATCGTCCCATCGCTGTCTTGCGCGTCTTTTCTCGACAGAGTGGTTCTTTCCACTTAGAAAAAGCCATGTGAGAGATATAGGACTATAATTGTTGTGAGGAATAACTATGCCCAAAATATCCATTTCTTGTCCTAGGAGTTTAAAGTTCTAGCTGAATGCTCACTTGTGCCCTACTTAACGGGTGGTTCGTATTCGCATCCCGCTATATACCGAAAATTTAAGGTTTGCGCGCAGAACAATCGTTACGAAGGAAACTGTGGAAGTGTTGGTTATTTATAGTCGTGTACTAGATGCCAAAAAGCAATTAATTTCAGCAACCACTTACCCTTATCTGCTATACTGTAACTCCTACACGTATGTGCCTAGAAGAAAAGGAGTGAAGCACCCTTACCCTCCCCCTCTTCCCTAACTGGTGCCTCTGCCAAGACAAAGCCGTCGAGAAGAAACCAGCAGATAACCTTCTTCGCTTTGCCGCCGACTGTACTCGCACAAACACCCCCCTTCATCTAAAGTTAGCATGCATTAATCCTAACATGATTTAATTGTAGTGAAGTGGCACTCGAAGAGCATTTTTGGAGCTTAATTTTGTGCTGTGGTTCAGCAGTGTGACTTGAATGACGTATGTCTTGTACATACCTGAATAAGCAGAGCACGTTTTGTGACTAAAGGCGCTCGTATTCCTCCTACCTACTCAACTTCGGAATGAATGATATTTCTACCTTTTTAAGAGCGCATCGAAACATTTAAGTAATGACTTCTTTTTATATACTCACTGGTAATTCCTTTACTACGGCCGTCTTTGCCGCACTTTATAGAACAAATTTAGTTGATTCTCTTGATGGTGGATGTTCCGATGAAGTAAAAAAAAATACGGTGACTGTTCATACATATGCGCATATACATACCTGCGTTAAATTATATAAGAACAGGGGTAGTGTTTGCCTCGAATTCTAATTTCTCGCAGGATGTTGTTACTTCCTGCACCATTTGTCATACACAATGAATAAAATACGTTCACTTCTTACATGAATGGGAAGTTCGAGATGAATCTTAACATAGGACGCACGTTTAGATGAGCAAGTGAGTGTACGTGTCTGTTGTTGCTACGTGTACGTCTTCGCTTTTTCCAGGAGTTTATCATTACATCTCAATTTTGTAGGTGTGATAGACCGATGTGTAGCCTCTATTAGATATTGTTTTCTTTAGCGCTGTGCGTACAATGCTCATTGAGCTTTCTTTACCACGGTATACGTAAAGTGTAGGGGGAATAGCCGCTTGTAATTAGGAGCAACTGGCTGGATAACTAAAGAAAGCAAACTCACAAGGGGGAGACAGGAAGTTAAATGGACAAATGAAATTTAAAAGACAGCGGATATAACGTAGCTGCACAAAGCACATTACCGGGTTGATTGGCGGAACATGGAATAAGCCAATGCCCTGCCGTAGGCGCAGTCAGAATGATAGTGATGATTTCTGCTCATGGCTCTAAAAGCAAGATAACATCAACGTCTTGCAGAGGCTCAACGTACAGTTTGTATTGAACATTGTGTATTGGCCGGAATGATCGCTCGATTGAAAGCTACGCAATCACCAAATTTGTTATATTATTCGCACCATTCTCTCTAGCACTTACCGCACAAAAGCGCAGCAATAACAGTGATAGTTGAAATGAATTGTTTGCCGTCCATTTTCCTCGGTTTCAGCAATTCCAGTCAGGAGCGCTAGAATGAAAAAAAAATGAATAACTTGGTAAGTACCAAGCTCATTAAGGAAATTTATTGGACGTAATGTAGCCTGTTCCAAATTCGGAGAGTGATTTATCATAACGATTCTAACTAATAATAGAGGCTTTCAGGCTAATTCTAACAATATTATTTGGTTTCTTACAAACTTAATTCACTTGATGATAGTACACAAACGCAGGAGTACCAGGAACATAGTTCTGCGGCACTAGCAGGCGCTTTTATAATGCAGCACGCAGCGTCATAAAGCACCTGGAAAACAGAGCAATTTTGATAATTGAAGTATCACGAAGAAAACAGGTGTTTCGTGAAAACATCAGGGAGATTGACTTTTGACAGACTTCCTCTGCGCCTATACGTAATTAAGCTATGAAAATCACCAGCCGAATTTTGAACCTGGATTCGACGTCCACATCCTGCAATCACTGCAATTCGCGCGACAGCAGCAATAACAAAAATCACATGGCCTCACGTCCGCCACATCCGCCACACCAACATAGTAAAAAACACTATTTTTGCTCGTTATTCAAGGTGTATAGTTTGGTATAAAATGCTTAGTATTCATATCAACCAGTTTTTTCAGTGCGCACTGAAAGTAATCAAAACCCAAAACAACGTCTTCGGGCAGCTGTACGACTTTAGCAGCGTTTTGTTTGGTACCAGTGGATTAAAGTTGCTGAAAACGTTAAAAGCCTGTCCAGTAATTGTGAAATGCCTTTAACATTTTCAGAACGCAAAAATTACAAGGTAAAAGGTAATAAGCATGTTATCTCGTGTACTGAAAAAAGGAATGAATTGTCGTGTCATATATGAGCCCAATATATCTATAAGATTCAACTTTAGGCGGGGGAATCTATGAAGGCCAACAAGACGGTGTCTGTATGACCGCCTTTGTGAGCACACCAATGGTGTGTGCAATCACAGAAAAGGTCTGTTCACCATTCCCGTTCCTGCGGTTGCACCTCCTTGCTGCGAGAAACCACAATCATTGGCAGACATCAGGACCAGCGCACTTGCGAAGCCTTCGATATTGTGCAGGAATGTTCACAATAAATCAGCATGAGAACTGTCTGCCTATCGATGAAGGAATAATCTCTTTAGATGCAAAGCAGCTTAGGGTCGATCTCAATCTGGTTTGCGGCATGACTGTCTTAACCTCGCATGTGCGTCCCCACCCTCTCACTTTATGCCCTCCTACGCTCCCTCTCTCTTCGCTCGCAAAGCTTTTAGCTGCTAGAGAAACGTAAATACATGAAGGAATTGCTTGCTTTAGTGTACGCGTACGCGTGTACTTGCGTCTTTTCTTGTACGTACCGGACCAGTGAAATTCTCCACTATATATATATATATATATATATATATATATATATATATATATATATATATATATATATATATATATATATATATATATATATATATATATTTATATATATATATATATATATTTATATATATATTTCTTACGGTTGAAATAAAGGAAAGGTGGATTTATTTACAGGGTGAGGATGAAGTTCGGCAGTCGCGGTAAAAATGGAGTCCTCAGGCCGAGCCAGAAATCGTCGTCTTTCTCTTCTACCTACCCGGCACATACTACAGCCCGGCTCATACATTAGTAATCCGCGGTTCACAGACGAAGCCCGCTGGGTGAGTTTAGGTCACTAGAGGGACGAAACTTCTTGAGGCGAGCCACGTGCACTAACTGCGTTCGATTCGACCAACGAGAAGCGTGCCACAACGTACGTCAAGTCAGTCAAGTGATCTACAATGACGTACTGACGGCTGCACTGTGTACTGCGGTAATAACTTCTGACATTAACTAGGTTTTCGTTGGGGGGGTCCACGACCACACGAATTCACCTTTGCGGAATGAAATGGCATCTTGGCGTTGATCGTATCGTTGCTTGGAGCGATCTTGTGATGCCAGTGTGCGCAAGCCAGCAATTTGGCGGGCTTCTTCAGCCCGGCACAATGTTTCGGCGACGGACTCATCGGTATGGAGCTTAAATGGGAGAATTGTATCAAGGGAGCTGCGTGGTGATCGAGCAAAGAGCAGGTAGAAGGGCGTGAAGTCCTGTATGGTATGCGTAAGTAATAAATGGTAAGATCTCATCCCAGTTTTTGTCATTGGATGTGACGTACATAGCGAGCATGTTAGTAAGAGTTCGAATGGTACGTTTTACAAGACCATTTGTCTGGGGATGGTATGGTGTCGAATGTCTGAACTGTGAAGTGCAGAGGCGAAGCAATTCTTCCACAGCGTCCGCGATCAATAGGCGACCACGGTCACTGATGATTACTTGAGGTGGACCATGGCGAAGAACAACGGAGCGTAACAAAAAGGCAGCGACGCCATCAGTTGTGAAAGATGGTATCACAGCGGTTTCGGTGTATCTGGTAAGGTGGTCGACGCACACTATTATCCAGCGGTTGTTGTTCGAAGATGGCGGAAACGGGCCCAATAGGTCGATGCCCACTTGCTCGAAAGGCGTAGTAGGTGGTTCTACGGGATGAAGAAGGCCGTGCGGTGCACAGCTGGGTCACTTATGGCGCTGGCAATTCTCGCAGCTCGAGACATATTGTTTCGTAAAATCTCGCATTCAAGGCCAGTAAAAACGCTGCTGCACTCGATGCAGGGTGCGAATGAACCCAAGGTGTCCTGACGTTGGATCATCGTGCATAGTACGGAGAACGTCGCATCGAAGACATTGAGGTACAGCCAGTAAGTAACGTGCGCCGGTTGCTGAGTAATTCTTTTTGCACAACAGTCCATCACAAATGCGAAAGCGACCATTGCCTTTGAGATTCCGAGCGTCAACGATCAAAGGGTCTAAAGATAAATCATTCAGTTGTTCTCGATTGAAGATATTGGCGTCAGGGAACGTGTGAGAGACCGCAGCAATACAGATGTCGAGGGTATCCGCGCTGTCCTCCGTCGTGGTCATAGGTAGGCGAGACAGGAAATCAGCGTCCGAATGATGTCGTCGACTTCTGTACGAGATGCTGAAGTCAAATTCTTGAAGGCGTAAAGCCCATCGAGCAAGGCGGCCAGAAGGGTCTCGAAGGGTAACAAGCCAACATAATGAATGATGGTCTGTCACAATCGTGAATGGACGACTGTAGAGGTAACATCGAAACTTCTGAATGGCGAATACAGCCGCTATACATTCTTGCTCTGTCACCGTATAATTCATGCGGTGACAGACAAGATGACCAAGATTACCGGTGCTACCCACGGGCTACACGACTCTTCAATGACACCCTTCTTCAGCATTGCCTGAACGTGGTGGGCAATAACCTTTCGTTCTGATGACGACACTCGGTAATCTTTTGTCGGATCGGATGGGCAGTGCTGGTGTCAATCCTATGGTGAGCGCGTGAACATGGTAAAGGTAGTGGCTTCTCCTGTTGGCAAAAGTCAAACACACAAGCATGTCGCCTCAACAGGTGGCGTAACGTCTGCTGCTCGTGTGACTGCAAAGTGGCGCTAATCTGCCTAGGATCTGCGACTCGTAAGAGAAACTGCGCTTGCCAGAGACTGTACCTTTCTCGCTTTCATCGTTGTTAACGACCGCTACAGAACCTTCAGTGGAATCATCGAAGACGCCAAGCTTCATTCCTCGAGGGAGCACAACCGGCATTGGTGAAAAGTCGCATTGGCCCACAGAAAGGTTGCTCCTTCATCAACAGATACCAAACAACGAGGGACGAGTATGCCTTTCTTAGCACATTGAACGATGGCAGGTTTAACGATGGCGTCAAAAGATGTGGCAGATTCTGGGGCGAACACCGCAACTGACCTCATTAACCATGGCGGCACTGTCAGCTCATCGAAAACAATCAGGGCGTCCTTTGCAGCCTCCAGCACCTCATCGACGAGGGCAGGAACAATGTCACCGCTGACGGAAAGTTCACCGCTTCCACAGTCGACGAAAGCGCTACATCCTTGGAGAAAGTCAAGACCGAGAAGCACATCGTGGGTACAATGCTGCAGCACAAGAAACTCTGTTGGGAACACCTTTCCTGCCAATAAGACATTGATGGCACAAACTGCGACAGGATGAAGTACTTCCCCACCAACACCACGAAACCTTGTTGATTCGCCCCAAGAAAACATAACTTTGTGGCCAATGCGACTTTTAAAAGAAGGACTCATAACTGATATCGTAGCACCAGTGTCCACCAAAGCACTTGTACAAAAGCCATCTATTTCTACACGTGTCTTCTTCTTGGACATTATAACTGGCGGAGGCATCTGAGGCAAATCCTTTTGTGCGACCTCACCTCTATCGGTCGCGCTTGCTAGTTTCCCGGCGGCGCCGGTGATGACAGGCGTCGTCCCAGTGAAGGGGAACAATGCAGTAGGCCAGATGGAGGCGTCAAAAAGCGGGAGATCTGCCACGGTGATTTCCCCGCCGTGAGGTACTCCTGAAATAGGCGGGTCAATGACCGTTGTTGTGACCAGTGCCCGCTGGCGAAAACTCTGATGGGGAATGGTATCAGGATGTGGGCTCTCTCTGTCGACAACAGAATCGAGCTATGTGCCCGGCGATACCACAATGGTAGCACACAGGGGCTTGGCGGTATGCATTGTACTCCTGAAAGGCATTTCGCTGACGTGGTGGTGGTACAGGTACATCTTCGTTCATGTCGTAATAAGTGTTGGCTGGCTGATGGGTGTAACTGAAGCGGTCTTCGTACCTCGGCAGCGGGTAGTTATTGCGCTGTGACCTCGGTAGTGAGGGTGGCCTGTAGTTGCAGTCATCTATGCCTGCTGCGGCAATTGACACCGGAAGGTGAGAGGGAGGCGGTGTGGGTGTAGCTTTGTACGGCGTCGGGCGAGCGTGTCGAGTGAGCTCTTCTCGAACGATCTGGCGTATTGTCGACGCGAGATCAAGCGGCGTGTATTTGTCAACGCTTGCCACGGTGGTTACAATCGGTAGGCGACCGAACATGGGGGTGATACATCGCATCTTCAGGGTCTCGAATGTGTGACAGTGGCTTATGACGTCGGTTACTGTAGCAAGGCTGTCTTTGCTGATGATGAACTGATACACGTCCTCGGCAATGCCCTTGAACAGGTGGCCAACTTTGCCTTCCTCTGACATAGAAGGGTTGACAATCTTGCAGAGCATCAACTTTGCCTCGACATAAGTCGTGCACGTCTCTCCTGGGACCTGCGCTCTCTGCAGTAACGTTTGTTCCGCTTGCTTTCTCTTAGCTACGGA